TACAGCCTCATGAAGTCACCCAAGGTCTGCTGGCCTATGAGCGTCCTGCTGCATCCTGAGTCGATGATGCCGAAGCCAGGTGAAGAAACCAATAGCACTTCATCTGTCACCATTGCAGCACCGCTGACCTTTTCCTTGTCTGCACGACCTGTGTAGCCGGAAGTCTGGGCCTGAGGACAACTTCTGGCCCAGTGTCCGATCTGTCCACAGCGTCGACACCTTGATCTCTTCTGGATATCCGTCAGCTCTCTGGAAAATTGCTTCTTCACAGTAGATGCTTGCTTGAACTTTCTTGCTTTCTGTAACTTTGAAATCTCTGTGCGCTTCTCTCGCCACGTGGCGGCGAGCACTTCCGCAATCTCTGACTCATCGTAGACCTCAGTTGAGGTCCCAGAGGAAGCAGCTTCCTGAAACCCGTGATCTGCTAAGAAGGCTTCCACCTCTTCAAATACAACACTGTCGGGCCCTTCCGCCTCAAAAGGCAGCCCTGTCTCCGGTTCATCCTCTGTCTCATCATGTTGTACCACATAGGCAGAATTTCCTCTCGCTACACGTCGTCCAGCTTTGAAATCTGGAAAACAGCTTCTCATCGCGGGCATGATGTTCTCCATCTTCAAATCCCCCTGGGTCTTTGCAGTCACGATTGCACGTTGATCAGCAGAAAGTCCTGAAGCGTTGAGGCATACCCAGCCCCGCGCCTCGGCGGGAAAATCCACCTGAACCTTTCTCCGACACTTAGCGAAGGCCTCCTGAACCCGTGAGCACCATGCCACTGTGGTTTCACCCTCCTGAGCATGTAGCTCGAAAATCTCTTTGAGACATTCGGCCATGTGATCATGAGCCAGTTTGTCAGGGAACCTCTCGTCTAGGCATTGCCAAATGTGTTTGTCTCCATTCTCTTCTCGCATCTTGTCCAACGTCAGATGTTCAACTGTCTCTAGAGCCAGCCCGTCCAACAGACAAAACACGAATGGTCCCCTCTGTGTCGGAGCCATGTCCTTGGTGGCAGCCATTTTGGCTAAAGCCCACAAGCGCCATCGCCTGTACTCTTGAGGGTCCAGCGTGTCTCCACTGAACCTTCTTTGCCCCCCAAAACCATCGGAGGACGAGGCCATGGCACCTACAAAAGACACTGCTTTTCCAGTGCTCAATCCTACCTAGGATCTACACTACCCCGGATGCCACCTGCCGTTTGCAGGTGGCTCCGCTACCAATGTCGAAACTAGGCACCCTCGTGCCCAACACTAGGAATCCTATCCTAACCCTTCCGGCGCCCTTTTGAACGCTCTGCCTAGAGCCGTAGGTTGCCTATGGATGCGAACCTCAACTGGACATCTATACACGAGACACTGCTTTTTCATATATATATATATATGCTGTCTATCCCTTTAGTGATGTGAGCTTTCACCGCTCAAAGTCTTTTGGTTCGAGCGGTGGTCAATGAGCTTGACCTTTGCTCTTGATCTCCTTCAAGAGCTCCGCTGGGCGTGGCCCGTTCAGTGCAGCTCCTCTGGCCTCAGCCTTCCCTTGGCGCTCTTACTCCTCATCCTGGCTTGTTGCTTGGGCTGCATCTGTGGGGGCCTCGTGGTTTTGACTGCGCTCTCGGCTTCTTGGAGAAGAGTTCTAAGCTGGCTCATTTCTGGGTGCGCTGCCGCTCCGGTCGATCCTCTTCCTCAAGGTGACACTTTGAGGTTGTGGAATTTGGGGATCTCAGGATCCGAGTTGAGAGAGCAGGAGGTTATCAAGCAGGCGCTGGCACATGAGGAACAATTCGGTCAACCAGATGATGCACCTCTTGTTGCTAGTCCGCCTCGCGAACAGTTGAAGGTCAATCATACACTGAAAGATGGAACAAAGGTTTTCGATTGCATTGAATTGTTTTCGGGGCAGGGGAGCTGGAGCAGTTGTCACAGACAATGTGGCCTTCGAGTGCATCCTGGCATTGAGCGAACAGCTAAAGGTAGAGGTTACGGTGATCTTTCCAATAATCAGACGTTTCGTGATCTTGCAACTTTAGCTTACAATGGAGCAATAGGTGAATGGCATGCAGCACCCCCGTGCTGGTCCTTTGGCACATTGAGAAGGCCTAGGCTCAGATCCAAATCTGAGCCAGCTGGGTTTGATCTTGACGATGCCTTGACTAAGGAGCAAACTCTGTTAGCAGTTCGAACAGCGTTTTTGCTGACACTGGCTCTTCAAGCAGGAGCCTACGTGTCTTGTGAGCAACCAGGGTCGTCAGTGATGTTCCGGTTAGCTGCCTTTCAGAGATTGCTCGGCTTGGGCTGCGCCATTACTCGGTTCTGCTTCTGTTCTTTTGGGTCTGCTTTTCAAAAAGCCAGTCAATGGCTGCACAGCAAGCATTGGTATGTCCCTCTCAGTGGTAAATGTTCTTGCAACTATAAGGGGAGGCACTTCACCATTGAGGGTTCGTTCACTAAAGCATCAATCCCTGTTTTCCTTTCTCGCTGCATGCCAAATTGCAAGACGGTGTACGGAAAGCTTCCGACCCCAGGAGAAGCAGTCAGTGCGTATTCTGCAAGTTACCCCCTCCCACTTTGTCAGGTGATGGCAGCTGGGAGTTCAGCAGAGCACCGATCTTCGACGAAGCGGAAGCTGGAGCACCATGTGGCAGATGCTGCAGAAGAATCTTGGCAGATGCTGCAGAATCTTGTGACTTAGGCACACGGTGGGACAGGGCTTGGCATGACGACCCGGAGTGAGTCGAGGACCTATGTGAGTGTCTTCCTTACAAGGAGTTGTTTCGATACAAATTCCGACGTTCCGGTCATATCAATTGTTTGGAATGCAGAACTTACAAGAGTTGGATCAAATCAATTTCAAAAGTTTGCTACAACAGTCGTCTTGTTGCATTGTTAGATAGCAGGGTCACCATGGGAGCAGTGGCCAAGGCCCGCAGCAGTAGCAAAGCATTGAGCAGGATTTTGAGAAGCACACTTCCCTATCTGATTGGGAGCGGTTTGTATCCGGGCACATTGCATTGCAGGTCTGCATGGAATCGGGCCAACGGGCCGTCAAGGGATGGCCCGGTTCCTCCTCCGAGTCGACCTGTCCCTGTTTGGTTGAAAGCATTATTTGACGGCGACGCAGCACCTTTTGACATCATGTTGACATCAGCAGGATGGATTCGGCCTGTTGGGAGGTGGTATCGCCTCCTCCTACTGATGGCAGGAGACATCGAACAGAATCCTGGGCCTAAACAGTTTTCCAGCTATGAGCCCAAAGGGGATTTGAATATGATGGGCGGGTTTGCACAGGCGACCTCTGTTCGAATGCAGAAATGCTTGGAGGCCTTCGGGCTTTGGTGTTCTACTGAAGCCCATGTGACGCTGGACGAAATTCTAAGTACTGCTGAGCTTGCAAACTTGGGTCTTAAGGGCTATGGGCTTGCATTGTTCAAGCAGGGAGCTCCACGATATTGGCTAGTTTACGCCATTACAGCAGTGCAACAGTTGCGTCCAGAGTTTAGATCATGTCTAAGTGGCGATTGAGCTGTTGACAAGAAGTGGCAACTAGAGGAGCCTGGCCAATGCCGGGCCGTTCTGTCAGCTCCTGTTTTGCGTGCAGTACTTTGTTTGTCCCTGCTGTGGGGGTGGTGGTCGTTTGCTGCGATCACCGCACTCGGGTTTGGTGGAATGTTGCACCCCAACGAATTTCTTCAACTGACACGGAGGGACTTGATCTTCCCCTCTGATTCGATGCTGGAGACACGTTCGTTGTACGTTTTTGTCAAAAACCCTAAAACCTCACGCTTCGCTCGAAAACAACACGTTAGAGTCGATGATGATTCTTTGAGTTTTCTTGCTTGGTGCGTGTTTGGCCTTCAAGCATTGGACACAAAATTGTTTCCAGCATCAACCGCTGCGTACAGGCGGCAGTGGAACAGTATTATGGATCGCTTGCAGATCCCCCGACGCCAGGCGGAAGGAGGAGCTACACCTGGAACCCTCCGTGGCTCAGGAGCTACCCATGAATATTTGCAGTGCGGCAACATTAGTCAGATTCAATGGAAAGGACGTTGGAATAGATTAAAGACTCTTGAACACTATATTCAGGAAGTTGCTGCTCAGCTGTTTTTGTTCAACTTGAGCCCGGTAGCTTGCCTTTGGTGTTGGAAGATCTCTTCCCTCAAGATTACAAACGGTTTTGCGAAGCAGGATGAAAGGGGTGGAATGGCTATACTGCTGGTTTAGATGACTTCTTCGTTCAAGACGATGTTCAGTGCTGGCAGTACGCCCTTCGACTTCGAAAGATGGCAGCGCTTGCCTTGACCCTGAAACTCAGGGGTGGGAGTTCTTGTGACTGCGGAAAAGAGCGCGAGGGATGCTTTCTATCCCTTTAGTGATGTGAGCTTTCACTGCTCAAAGTCTTCCCGGACCCGCCTCCCAATGGCTATACTGCTGGTTTAGATGACTTCTTCGTTCAAGACGATGTTCAGTGCTGGCAGTACGCCCTTCGACTTCGAGAGATGGCAGCGCTTGCCTTGACCCTGAAACTCAGGGGTGGGAGTTCTTGTGACTGCGGAAAAGAGCGCGAGGGATATATATGTATACACACTCAACCCCAGTACAAAACATATATACATAGCTACATGAGCTAGCCTTCAAGGTTGAAAAGGTGGCGGTTGCCTCGGTGGACTCCACGAGCCTCTGTAAGAGGGGGAAAGATGGCTGACGCATGCATAAGCCGATGTTGGTCGGGGTCGGCTTTGGACGGATTCCTTTTTGCCCATGAAACACATCCCTGGCTTTAGTGACGGAGTGAACAATGGTAGGATGCAACGTGCCATTTGTGGACTTTTGCCTGTTAAGAATACTTAAGAATATGTACTGTGTTTGAGCCGTGTGCCTGGTTATGCCCCCAGACAAAGAGAAATAGAAGAAAGTTCGCTCAGGTGCTCTTTAGGGCCAGGTATAAAGACATTTGGAAAGCACTCCTTTTGCAAAAAAAATATTGCTTTCAGAGCATCCCCCCATCCAAGGATGATGAAGGTTCGCAAGAGAAACTACAAATTGTTTAGCCGGTGCTTATGTCAGCTCGATTTGGTGATTGGCCTTTTCAGCTTCTACGAAGCGTGTACTGCGCCCGGGTTGGACACCATTACTTGGGCCGGCATTTTCCTGGTGGCCTATGTGCAGCATTTGATGGTGGGTAAGGAGATGGTCGATTTAAGCCCTCAGCTGATGAAGATCCTTGGGAAGCACGTGGATCTAACATTTTAAATCGATCTTTCCCTTCCAAGGGGGTTTGGAATTGCAACCTACATGTGAGCCACAGCCGCTTGCGCCGTCAGTTCCCTTTTTGTGATCTGAATCCAGAGGATGCACATCTTCACGCCAGAACTTGGACCAACATGCCATCACTAGACCTTCCACACCAAAACCATCAGACTCAGACCTTCCACCCTGTCTCGCTGCCTGTTCGCCTGTCGAAGTCTCCTAAAAACATGGGTTTCAGGATCGTGGCCTACAAAGCACACATCTTGGTGCTGCTTTTTATCATTGCAACCGCTTGGACGGGACATCATGATCATGGCTTGAAGTTTTCTTTGATGCAGGGCTTTCAGATGGCCTTGCGCTTCTGTGTGTCGCTGTGCTTCTTCGATCCTTGGGTATCGATCCCCTTCAATTTCATCTACTTCGTAGCTGACATGTTCATCTACCTCTTCGTGGTGGACCAGGAGAACAGCAGCATGCCTCGGATGGGCTTCATTTTTTTGCAGCCAAGTCTTCATTTTGGTGCCTTTGGATTGAAGAGTTCAGATGGCTATATGTTGAGGTCGACCTCAACAACTCTTCAGACCCCCAAGCCCACCTCCAGTGTTGGGTTTCAGAGATGTCTGGAATGTACCCAAGTTGTGGAATCTATTCTGGCACCTTGACTCCAAGTGTTAGGTTTGCGGGAGGCTGCTCGAATCCGGGCTCCTGCCACGAGCAGAAGAGTCTTCCTTCCCAGTGCACTGGAGTTCGGTCAAGAAACATAGAACTGGAAGAGCCCTGACTCACCCTGCAACACGATGTCCTGCAGACGGGTTCCTAAAATCTCCGTGGAAGGCTCAGGACTTGGTGGTCACTTCCTAACGCCTCAAACTTGGTGGTAGTAGATGCCAGCAGTTCCAAAGGGGTGCCTATTGGAGGATGGAAGCGCTCATGATCCACGCAATTAAAGGGACAGGGAAAACTCCCTTGGAAAATCCTGGTGTGAGCTATGATATGACAAGAACATGACATGCTATTTATGACCGTGGGGACCGTGGTGACCGTGCGTGTATGACCGCACAAGCATCGAAGCATCGGCGAAGGTTGAAATCATTGCCAGCTCCATTTCCATAAACCTGGCGCTGCGCAGTCGCACCGATGCGAGTCTTGAAAACTCCGATGCCGAGTCCTTGGTCTCGGGCTTCCGCAGGGTTCTTCGGGGCGTTTGTGATGGTGAAGTCCTCTTGGACAACCGCATGGAGGCGAGGAAGTCCGGTGTTGACACCACCGGGTGAAGGGGTTGGAGAAGGCGTTTTCTTCCTTGCGAAGAAGCGGTGACACCAAGAAGTCCCTCCCCCTTCTTGCTTTTAAGGTGGCGCAAGAGAGTGAGTGCTTGCAACACTTGATTCGGACCGATGAGAAGCTCGCTGGCCGATCTTTTAAAGAGCTCTTGGTGGAGGACGAGAGGCCTCGCTTCGCCGACTTCATCGCGTCGTCCACCCGTGCCTTCAGGATGCCGGAGGGCGAACCCACGCCGCCCTGCTGCCTGCGCATGTCCTTCGGCTCTGGGGCATCGGCGACGGCGTCAGGCGGAGTGGCAGGCGTTGCGGCAGATATTTACCATGTGCCGGTTCCAGGGCTCTTCGGGGCGCAGGAGCCATACCACTTGATTGCTTTCAAGGAGGTGCCGTGGATGAAGTTGCCCGTGGGGAAAAAATTGTGGGGTATCTACAGATATCACCAGTTAGCTTTGGCAAACTTACAACTTCGTTTTCCGTTTGTTTTTACTTTTGTTTTTGTAAATGGAGCTCTTTGGGGCGATGGAGGTCTTGATCGGCCCTAAGGATCCTGAATCCCGGCCACAACCGGATGCAGACGAGGATTCCCTGCCGATGGAGTTGGTCAACACCTGGCCTAAGACGGGAGATGTGGCTTCGTTGGGCTCTGAAAGTACTGGAAGAAGCGAAAGTGGCGAAGGTGGGTGTAAATAGCTACTAGTAGCAATGCCCTTGTTACTAGTGATGCCCTTGTTCCTAGTGGCTTCGTGTTGTCTGGGTGATCCAGACAAAACCATCCCCCTTGACCTTGAGGAGCTCCACCCATCGATCTTCCTCCTCCCCCGATCTGTCCTGAGACCCCGCAGGTCGGAGGATTTGTTCTGAGCTGCGAGAGATGACGCTGTTGGTGGACACGCAAAGCGAACTCCAAGATGTGAAGGAAGCACATTTGAGGTTTGAACGCGACGCCTTTCAGCCAGGTGCCAAATGTGGGCCCGCTAGCCAAGTCGACGTGGGTTTCTTCGTGCGTCTTTTTTTTTGAAATCTTGTCTCTGCCCCCAGTCAGAAGGTCTTCAGTGGCTTTGGACTCTGACCACCTTCCTCAAAACTAACCAGGGCTTTTGGTGGATTGGGTGCTTATCATTATAGGATGTGGTCCACGGGATGGGTCAAGATCGAAGACTCCCAGATCCCCACAGATTGTGGGCCCCGTTAGGGTTTCTTTGTGTGGCTGTATGGCTTTGATCAGACAGCAAGATCCCAACCAACCGCCCCCTGTGTGAGGTGATGTTGCTTCGGCGCTCCAATCTGGTATGCCCAGCTTGCGAAAGTTGGTGAAGATTACCGAGTGGGAGAAGGTGCGGGTCAGCACCGTGAAGTTTGCCCAGCATGCCATGCTGGATCCCGAACTTCAACCGCGAGTCACTCGGAGAGGAAAAACATTGCGGAGAAAGTCGGCCGCCAGATTCCCAGATCAGGAAAAGGGACCAGGCATTCCAGCATTCCTAGGATTCCAGTGCCCTTCACCCCCCGAAAATCCTGTGGCAGATCGTTTTCCATGATGAATTGGACCGCTCAGTTGGAGAGCTTCTTGGGGTTTGGAACCGGTTCTGGTTCCGAGGTGATGAAGCAGCTGACCCTGCAGCTCCCGGGCTGTCGTCGTGTCACTGCCGAAGAGGCTTCCTTGAAGCGCTGCCAGCAGGCTGGCTTGGTCTGGCTGCACCTCACAGGGCTTCACCCGCAGAAGCTGCTGAAGAGATCTGAGCGAAGTCCTGGTGATGGCCTGCAGGAGGGCCTTACACGCCGGAGAGGGAGATGACTATAATTTTTTGGCTGAGTGCTTCGGCTTCGGATGAGCGCATCGCGGGTGTGAGGACTCCATGGTCAAAATTGACCCCGGTCTGAGAGGAGTCTTCCACCCATGATTCGATCCATCTGACTCTTTCCCTCTGAGGATCGCATTTGACTCTTCACGTTTCACTGCCTTTTTTTGGACCCATGTTCCAGGCGAGCAAATCCAGCGAACAAAAGGCCCCGCATCGGTCACCTGGGGTGGCTGAAATCGCACCATGCGACTTTCGTGCGACCTGTGGCAAATGTTTGGTGAATGAGAATTATAAAGCACAACCATTTGGCCGATCGTGGTGAACAGCAAATTAACTTTGCCCATTCCTTAGGTCCTTAGGTCTTGGCCCCTTCTACAGGCCGGTGGTAGGCTTGGTGCTCCATTGGAGGTTCATCACGATTGTATCCTGGAATCTTCACATGGTTGACGGCGGTTGACGGTGAATCTGCACACTTTGCTATGTATATAGAAGGCAGAAGAGTCAACCTCGATATTGAATCGATGACATTTATATATAGACTGTCTTGGTCCCAAGCATCAGATTCATCTACCCAACCAATGAATTGAACATCATCAAAACTCTGTCTCTGTATCTTCTCATCCTTGACACTCGTATATGGACGGTCAGTTCTTAAAACGACTTTCCTGCTGTTTTCGACCGGACCTTCATCTTTTGGGGCGAACTTCGACGAACACGCACGGGGAGAGGTGCCCGCCGCCCTGCTCCGCCAGCCCCAGCCTTTCGTCTCATGAGTGGCTTCTGAAGCTTTCTGCTGAAGGATCACCCCAACTGTCACGGCCGTCTCAGTGAGTTTGAGTGGTGAAGTGTTGTGATAGCACTCAAAGCTGTACGAGGATGGGGAATGAAGATTTTGGAGTGCTTATGGAATGGCAGCAGATTTGCAAGTACAAAAGGTTCTGCCTCTTGTTTTCCTTCGGATTCCTAGTGTTGAAGGATTAAAACTCCTCATTCGACAGTGTCTTTCACATGGAGCCACCAGTTGCTGAAATTGTTGGATCTGCGCTAAGACTTGGTATTCCTTTGTGGGGAGAGAAAAGCAACGACTGTTTTTGGCAGGTTTGGATGACGCACAGGTTTGGGTCGACAAAGGGTGTTTCAAACAAACAAGATACCCCGTATCCATTTGTATCTTTGTGTTTGGATCTTGGATGCCAACAAAGTAAATATGGATGTTTTCTTTCATCTATATATTTAATCTATTTTTCATGCGTTAAGTATTTGGATACTATAGCATCAAAGAATCTGCAGTCCAAAGGTGAAGCACAACTATATTCCCTGGTCGGTTGACTGTACAAAAGCACTGGTGTAGCGAGAAAACCCAAAAGATTGTAACGGTCAAAGCCTCGTAGTTCGGTCAACAGTGAAGGGTAAATGGTCTAGGCAGGTTCGGTGGATTTTGACGTCCATGCAGGTCGGTGCTCTTCACAGAAACGGGTGATCCTTCGTCTCGTTTCGTGTGTGAGGAACCTCTTAAAGAGGTTTCTCTTTTGGGTACTGACACCGCAAGCAGATGTGAGAAAGAGTCATTTCTGCCCAGTGAGCTGCGTGTTTTCATGACAGGGTCCCTTATAAAGGGGCGTGTTTCTTTCCAACGTGGTTGTTAGACTGGTAGAGTTTTGAGAGGGCTGCGGGATGTTTTGTGGGATGTTTTGTGGGTTCACTTCTTCTACCCCAGGCCCCAGGCCCAGGTGAATTGACTTTCTTTCGGATCATTCCGTCCGCTATTGTGCAGTCTGACTCGAGTGGCATATCAACTGTAGCGCCACTAAAGGAGGAGCTCCGTAAAGGCCACCTGAGACGGGTTCCAGTCAGTCTTCCAGACGCATTTTGCCTCGACGGTCTGCTCATGATTTTAGGGGTGTCATCCATTCAAGCCGCCAAACTCTCAACCACTGGTTTTCATGAAATAATCTTTGGGATTCCTTTCTTTCTCTCCGAATGCCGTTCTGGTTGGGTCATTGGGTTACCTTCTTGGGGAGGGTCAAGTCCAGAGGTGTGAGGATACTGGGAGTCCAGACTTCTCTGGGTGACGAGCTTCTCGCGAGCTTTGGACCAATCCCACCACCGTGCCACTGTCAAATCATCAAGTCCAAGTCCACCGTGCCAGCTCTGCTTCAACCCTACACTCCGCTCTGACTGTCAAGCCGACCAATTCCACGGGGCGGACAATCCCTCCCGCAGCTTTCCGCAGCTGTCCATGGCACTTGGGGGCGTTTTCGAAGTAACTTCTGCACGGAGGAAAAGCGGTTTAACAGTGTAGTAGTGACCTTCCCCATTTCGATCCGTTTTTGGGACGGCACAGGTCGGATCCTGAAGGTGATCGGTTCAGTCTGAAGGTTATCCGCCCTAGCTGGTGCGTGGGAACTTTTGGCTGAGAGTATTCCTCAATACTTGGAGAATTCCGATTGGTCCCACAGAGCCTCGTCGAACAGGTCAAGCGCCACCCGGTGACCTATGCGACGGTAAATCCCATGTGACCTCCCATCTCTCGAAGTGGTGTGTTCTTTCAATTTCAGGTGACCTTCAGCCTTGGTTGACTCAATCAAGGGGTTTAATTTAAGGTCCTTCTTTGAGGGCACCTCATTCAACCAGAAGCACGATATTCAGTAGACTCCTCCTCGCATGCGCGTGAACCTGTAATCTCACCACAGATGTTCTTCAACAGAACCGTCCAACAATTGCAGTCTCGATGGCCTCGGCCATTTTGTTGGATGCCAATCAGAGTTTGTTTCCCAAAACGCCAAGTCTTTCAAAACAACCAGACTTCTTCCAAGACCTTGCCTTTGTTCCGCTTGAGCATTCATGGGTTGATGGGGAAGGACAGCAAGGACACCAAGGAGAAACAGGCCGATCCCATCTGCAGTTGTTGGTCGCAGGGATGGGCCGTTGGATCCAAAACAAAAGAACGGGAGGTGAGGAGGTCCAGTGGTAGAAGGGCTTCGAGCAGAGCTCCGTTTTCTGGGGTTTGAAAAGGCTGGAAGCTGGACCGAAGCCATGACACTCAACGTCACCCTCGTGCAGCTTGCAGGAGGGAATCCCACAACAGCCCTCATTGTAGACATTCCCCATCGAAAGATGGGGGAGGGTGAAATCCTCACAGATGGAAGATGGGAACCGCATCTCATATATATATATATAGATACATATTGTGATTGACACAAAGGTAGCAACAAAAGATCCTCCTCCCCTCGCACAGCCGCGTGCGTTTTCCACTCACAGCTCACCTGAAGGTTGGTACGAACGGTCGGGCGCCTCGCCCTGCAGTGTCCTCACTGCTTCTATGGCTCAGGTCACGGGTGACCCACCCTACACCACCCTTGCGGCCTCGCACACTCGTGGCTTCGGACATGAACACACCTGAGTGGGTCAAGGCTGGTTCCTCAGTGAGAGAAAGAAGCTCTACATGCTGATCCCAGACTCTGCTGATCTCAGACTTGGACCGAAAGGTTTGAAATTCACACTCATCAAAATTTCTATCTTTTTCTTTGGTTGTGTGTCGATCATCCTTCTTGCTGCTGATCCTCCATCAGAGGGACCCCAGACTCAAGCCACTTGAGGCGTGTTCTGCTGTCAGCTCGCTCTTTCAGCACTTGCAGTTCGTCGTTTAATTGATACATGCCTCGTTGCAAAGTGTATCGGAGGAAAGTTCCTTGCATCACCCTAGTTAGTGCATCCGCGAGCTGAGCTCCTGTATGAACCCATCTTAACTGAATGCCTTCTGATAGCAAATCTTTTATTGCCTTTGCTTGAAGTTGTGTACGGAATTCCTGGCAATTTGGTTGAGCAGTTCGAGTAACCAAATCATACAAAGATTTGCAACCTGTGACAGCTACGGATCGTGGCAAACACTGGGCCAACGCTGTCGTTGATAGGATTGGTTTGGGTTCACCTTTGAAAACCTCATGTGGTCGTTTCCAATTGACTTGGGGATTTTGGATCCATGCCCAATAGAGTCTCATCCAAGATAGCTGATACTGCTTGGCCTTGGGCGAGTGAAGCCTACGGGCTTTGCCGTTTGCGCGCGTACTTTTGTGCGCATAAACTTATACGCGCAAGATCACACGGCCTCATCGTTCTGCAGATCGTTGCTTCAAGCATGCTACATAGTGGCGCTGGATACTGTTTGGCCTTGGGCAAATAACACTTACGGGCTTTGCTGTTTGCGCGCATACTTTTGTGCGCATAACCTTATACGCGCAAGGTCATACGTTGTTATTCCTCAATTAGGGCTAGCTATGGGGCTCTTGCTGCAAATAAGAATGAGCTGGCTGCGCGCGCTTTCGAAAAGGTGTCGGTGCTGGTGCTGGTGCTGGTGTCAGCTGATTGTGCGCGCTGTGGAGGTGCCATATTCTGGCTGCGCAGGCTGCGTACATTCTTGTTCCAGCCAGTCGCATGTCAACAGGTCGTGGGATTCTGCCTAGCTATCTGGGTCCCAAAGTTACAGCATTGATGGGGTTTCGTCAAGACTATCACTGCTGCGCGGTCACAACACATTTGCGACCTTCAGAAAAAATGTAACTCGTCAGGTATCAGCTCTTAGCGCAGAACAGTGTAAATCTTGGGCTGATACGGCCCCAAACCCAAAAAGGCGAGGAGTGGCCAAACATCGGCCGAATGAGCATCGTACCTGGCGAGCCGGCTCGCAGGGTGAGCATAACAGTTGGGACAACAAAGCCTCAAACTGCTGTCCCTGGCGAAGGTCTCGGCAGGTTCAGCTTCGGCATCTTGACTGGCGGGTGTGATCAGATCATTCAGATCTACTAAAAACAAACCCTTGGCATTTAGCTGAATTGGAATGTTGCGCTTCAAGAGAGTGCTTTTGATCACTTCACCAGATATATCTACGGTGGCTCCGATGGCTCGGAGCAGGGTTTTCGACAGCAGGAATGGTGTCCGGCCTGGCACTATGGCAATCTTGAGCTTCAGCGGTCCGATTGGGACAACGAGTGCATGCTGGCTTTCAAGTGTCCCTTGATTACCAAACCGAAAAACCACTGAACATCGACACCTTTGGACCTGCTTCCGAACCTCTGGCTTTAGTGCGGCTAGGAGATTGGCTACGAAACCGCTTCCTATGGCGGTCTTAGTAGCACCTGTATCTACGATTCCCAGGGCATCACGATTTGAAAAGCTTCAGAATGCACTGGCTTCGGCGTCATGCATTGACTTGGCTTCAGGTGATTGGGCGGCGCTAGCAAACGCACTTTCTGGCAAGCTAGTCCGGACATCACAATTCTCGCACTCGGTGACCATTTCCCCTTTGTGGGCTAAAACAATGATTTCCCCTTCATTGGTCTCCCACAAAACCCTCAAAACACCGGTGTCCCTTGATTCACAACCACACAAAACTTGCTTCGATTTCTCTTGAGTGGCGTTGAGCGTCTCTTCGGTCAGCTCTGGCAAATCCATGATCAGGGCGGCGTCCTCGTCACCGTCATTGGCAAGACTCTCAATCCATTCTTCCTCGGTCCAATCATCAAAATTGTAGGTGGACTCGGCGGGTGCTTGGTCATGACCCTCAGCTTTTTGAGCAATGAATGCATTGGCCTCATAGGTTTCGGTCATTGGATTGTTCAGCTTTCCGCTGGAGTGGACCTCATGGAAGAATCGACTCCCCAGGAGCTTCAGATTGGATACCACCTCTCTGTACTCCAGTGAACCCTGCGATTCAACAATCAGTCTCTTCTTGTCTTCTGAGTGGGTCTCGTCGGCTCTTTGAACCGTGCTGTATATTGCACGCTCAAATCTTTCGAACTTGTCCTCCAATCGGGATTTTCCCCATATCCCTCCAAGGGCCTCCACAATGGCCTTCACTCCCTCCAAACTTCCAACACGCAGCTTCTTTGGGTCCAGTCTTGCAACTCTCTGAAAGGCTGATCCCTCACATTGCAATGCAACTCGTGGGGCAAGCAGGTGTAGTTGTTCTGGAGGCCATAGTGATGCCAGGAACTCTACTTTCCGTGACCATTCAGTGAGGTCCGTCTCACCAGGCTTGAAAGATGGAACCTGGCTCCATGGGAGATTGCTCAAACCTCCTGTGCAAAAACTAAAGCCAGCTGAATCACCTTCCGGTGGCATTGGGCTGTTTCCTCCCTGGAAACCGCAGCTCAACAACTCTGTGACAACACCACCAAGACACTGTGCAACCCGTCGACTGCCTTGCGGCCAAACAACGTATTCACCGACTCAACCACGCAGTCAACAACAACCAAGCACACGGGTCAGGTGTTGTCTGGAGCTTTAGCGGTAGCTCCGCTACCAATGTGATTGACACAACGGTAGCAACAAAAGATCCTCCTCCCCTCGCACAGCCGCGTGCGTTTTCCACTCACAGCTCACCTGAAGGTTGGTACGAACGGTCGGGCGCCTCGCCCTGCAGTGTCCTCACTGCTTCTATGGCTCAGGTCACGGGTGACCCGCCCTACACCACCCTTGCGGCCTCGCACACTCGTGGCTTCGGACATGAACACACCTGAGTGGGTCAAGGCTGGTTCCTCAGTGAGAGAAAGAAGCTCTACATGCTGATCTCAGACTCTACTGATCTCAGACTTGGACCGAAAGGTTTGAAATTCACAACATATATATATATATACACACACACACTTACTCACTCGATTTTTCAATCTTGTTCATATTAGTGCTAGCTGATTGAGGGCCTGGGGATACCATGAACACGAAAAAACAACGATCTGGAAACAATGCTCAATCCTAAACCCAGAAAAAGCACAACAAAAAAACAATGATTTGGAAACTAAAGCCAGAAAACCTCAAAAGAAACAACAAAACAATGATTTGGAAACTATGCTCAATCCTAAAGCCAGATAACCTCAGAGACAAAAAACAATGATTTGGAAACTATGCTCGCTCAATCCTAAAGCCAGAAAACCAAGACCTTTAAAGTAGGCTTATACATTGAAAACATGGTGTTGTCGAAGAAGTTCTTTGATATACCTGTATCCATTTTGTAATTGTGCTTACTTTATGCTTAAAATCAATAAGATACCGTAACATGCTTCCTGTTCAATTTCAATTGATGAATGGCAAGTATGGTTTCCCTCACTTCCTTCTTTAACTTCTTCCCGAGTCATTACACTTGCATATACATGTATACATATATATATATATACATATATATATATATGTATGTATATGGGGGGCGCTGACATTAGCACTAGCAACTTTAAGTTCAATAGGTCTTGGAACACTCCCCCACCAGGGGGCCCCCTAATCAGCACCCGCCCTATATGGGTGCTCATATTGTTACACACATAGAATGCCCTGTGATAGGTTTTCCATGGAAAACTTGGTCCTCCAGCTGACGGAACGGCCTCCAATCACTGATGTCAGGATGAATGGGAGCTCCTCAATCGGCTCTCGGCCGGGATCCGCCGAGGATCAACTGGGATGGTGATCCGAGGATCTGTGGATCAAGAAGGTTCCCTCCTTTTTTGTAAAAGCGAGGATCTCCGTGTCAACCACCTGCAAGACCGACACAAGGATGTCTGGGGATTGGGGAATGTGGACCAACCCAAACTAGCAGAAGCACATCCCATTTTTCAACCGCTAGCCGTTCGACTGCCCTGGTTCGACCTTTGGACCAGACCCGATGGACCGGGAGACGATGCAGATCCGATGTGATCGCGGTGCAATTCTGGGACGGAACCAGCTCGGCATCGCCGGGTGGGCGGAAACCCAAGGCCAAGGAGCTTCGGATCCTGGCGGCCAGGAAGTGTGTGCCCCTCACACAGACTCTCGGTGGGTGGTCGGGTGCGGCAGAAATCGGCGTTTGATGTGACCGACCTGAATCCTCTGCGAAGCGAATTCGATGGGCGAATTCGAATCAATCCCTAAGTGTTGGGGGACCGTCTGGGCTGTTTGCATCTGGGATGGACCTTTGGTGGCAAAAAGGATTCACTAGTAAGGCACTTGTTACTAGTAGCTTCTTGTTTACTACTAGTAAGGCACTTGTTACTACTAGTAAGGCACCTGTTACTACTAGCGAGGCACTTGTTACTAGTAGGACAGACATCAACGAAACCTGGAGGGTCTGAACATACGTGATTGTGTCAATACCGCTTGATGCCACGATGGGTGAAGATGGTCAAGTTTGTGGTGGAGAAGATGATTCGAAAGGTCTTTTCGCAGAGACATATGGCTGGGAGCTGATCTTCAGAAAATTTCCAGTAGTCAATCAGAATGACGGCGAGGCTGTGCAGCGAGTTAGTGTGGTTTCAATCAGATGTTTGATTCATACGAAGATCTCGCACCAGCCGTGCCAAGCACCATTCGGTCGGCACGTCCCCGTGCGCAATTGGTGTCGACCTGGCAGTACAGAACGCACCAAGGCAAGTACCCGTTTTGCTAGCTTTTTTGTTCTAATTTTGGAGCTTGGTTTTTGCAGCAAGTCGAGCAGTTGCTTGGTCTTCGTTGGTCCGGCTCCAACTATATGAGGTAGTTGTGTCTTGTCTCCCTGGGTGCTGGTGTTGTGTATGACATCCTCAGTCAAAAGGCGCCCGTGCAGCTCAGGATTTCCACCGCAGTGGAGAAGATCGACTTGCCGGGTTTCTCGGAGAGACCAAGGTCGATGGAGACCAACTGGGTGTGTGACTGAAGGTCTACGGTGCCCAGCCTCAGTTTCTTTATGAGGTTCTACGGTGCTGGCGGTGTTTTTTGATGACTTCGCGCAACCTTCTCCAAGTTTGCATTTGGAATAAAACCAGATCTAGGAGGGAGCGATTGAACAGCTTCCGATGATGCGAAACTTTTCTGCGCCCACCAAAGACAGCATTGCTACGAGCAAGAGCCGGTTTTAAGCATCGCCAGATGTGCCAATTCCACGGAACCAAACTAGTTGGTCTCTCTCTCTCTCTCTATATATACACATTCATACATACACAGAGTTCCATGGTGAATGTCCCGATGTGCCACAGATTCCCAACTTACCATGTCGCTGGATTAGAACATTTGTAGTTCGGCCTCAAGCATTACTTCGGTGGCTTTGCCGCCCGTGCCCCTATGTTTACCTGGTTGGTTGGTGGGAAGGTAGGATGAACTACTTGTCTGATCTGACCAGGGGTAAAACAAGCAAGCAAGCCAGCCAGCAAGCAAGCAAGCAGGCAAGCAAGCAAGCTAGCTACATCATTCGTTCATAAAAGGTATACAGATGAATCCATTGGTTTGGGAAGCCTTTCCCTGACTTTCACACAAACTCCCTAAAACCGGCACTTTAAGCAAGCCTGGGCTAGGAAGCCTGTTTGTTTTACCTTTGAGCTATCTCCTTTCCAGCTCCCAGCATTGGGTTTCTCCGACAGCTTCTCTGCCACGACTCGTCCAGATCCCTTCCCCTTCGCGATGCCATGGAGGATCAACCTCATCGTGAAAGCCGGGCCCGTCTTGGATCAGTGCGGGCACCCGGACCCCCCGGTGGGTCCGGCCTCCGGCCGGATGCGCGGTTCGGCTGGTGGGTGAATCCCAAAGGGCATGCGGCATATTGTTTCTTTAGGTCCAGACAGTCCAGATCATGAATTTGAAGGATTAACATTCTCACCAAGCGCTTTTTGGAGCCAGGGACCTGTCATTCGTGGACATGGGTGTTGGGAATCAGCCCTGTTTTGGTCCCTCAAAGTTAGGAGGGGACTAAGATTTCTCAACCACTGAGGGAATTTGGGACGCAGATCTGGCAGGCTGGTGGAAGAGTCCATTTCAAGGACAGAACATCCCACTCTTCCTTTGTTTTTCCGTTCACCATCTATTTGTGACCATGTGCCACCATTTGTCTTGGCTTTCACTTGAAACGCTCAGAATCCCTCGCTGGAGATGCTGGATCGTCTCCCCATCGAAGCCGTGACTTCGCAGCGCTTGACCTTGCTGTCTGAGGTACGACGTGAGCGTGGGGGTGAAGGAGCGGCTGGCTCACGAAGAGAGACCCGAGCGATGGCCGCGAAAAGCGTCGAACGAGCACCACGAAGAGCGGAGGTCTGACCAAGCGCAAAGTAGGCTGGTGACCTTGGGTCAGAGGCCAACAGCGACCGAAGCGGCGGTGACCGAATTTTGGAGGGTTTTGGAGCCCATGGCCCAGAAGCCAGAAGGTTAGTTTCAACTTGATCAGAAGGAGAACAATTGCCTGAAGCCATTCAGGGGCTCTCTGCACGTGACACTCACAAAAGCAGGTACAAGCGAGACTCTACCTCTGTCAATCGATTCGAATCGGATAATTAGATGATGTCGAGCATGTTGGAAAGGCTAGGTCCAGGTCCCGCACATAGATTAGAAATGACATGAAATGACTCTGTTTGCATGTTTGGAAGATCTTCGGGGTTTCAGCTTTATCATTTCTGCATTTACTGTATATACCTGAAGTGGAAGGAGATGCTGATGCGGCTTGAAGCAGATTCCTCCAGCTTCCAATCAAGTCCCACAGTCCACTGCATGGCTTACCAGTTCAGAGAGGCTACAGTCACTGTGGTACCCTCCCGAATCAGGATCGAATTTGAGAAATAAGATCTTTTCATATCTTATCATTGCTAGTAGTTTGGAGGCCATCGCTAGAGTATTAACCTGGCATGAGTGGAAGATCCTTCTTGTACCCTGCATGAGTGGAAGACTTTCTCAGCCCTTGGGGCGCCGGAACGCACAGACGGCCATCGGCCGTGCCAGGTGTGGACAGCGGAGTCCATTGAGAATCACCAGCCAGGCGGCCGAAACCCAGGAGACTCACAGAGAGTTCAATGTTTGAATCAGGACTCAACTGGTGAACAGGACGTTTTGACGGATTCCCCTTATCATCCTATCAAGCTTCTGGCTGTGATCTTTGGCAGAAACTTCTACAACATGGAGAGAAGTCTCCACTCCAACTCCACTCCGGAGTCTTGTCTGCCTGTAAACTTCTTGACCTCCTCGTCTATCTGCTGGGCATGTTTTGGAACTGGTAAGGCGAAAAGAAGGCCAAAGCAAAGAAGAAGGAGAAGATTCTCGGTGGGTGGAGATGGGCCGTTTGGTCAAACAGAGCACCACCTGGCATGAAAACACATAGGAACCAAACTGGACAGGAGTTTTGATTGCGAGTGCAAGCTGGAGACCCCAGAACCACTGCACGTCAACATACACAAACAACGTCGACTCTGCACGATCGTCTCGGGCGCATTGGAACAGTTGGAGACTTGCTTTCGAACAGTTGGAGGTACATGGGTGTGTAACGGTGTGTACAGGGTTCTGACAGGAAACTCCAGCCTTTGGGTTCTTTTCTAAATGTTCAAGTGCTCAAGTTGGAGCAACGAGAAAAGAACTTGTGCTTTGCAGCAAAAGAGAGTCTTTGGATCCAAACCTCAAGAGGTTTGCCCTTGTTGTTGCTGCTTTGGAATCTGAGACTCGGGGAGAGACTCGGGAGCTAGATGAGCGCCCAAGGAAAGAAAAGAAAGAAAAAGCACTGGCGCTCGAGGATAAGAAGAGAAAGAAAGGCGGGTCTTTACGGTGAAGGTGAAACGATTAGGCTCTAATTTCAGGCTCAAAGAACTAGCAAATACCGATGTAAATGATTAGACTCTCATATAAACAATAAGACAGAGCTGGGGTTGTGGTCTGGGTCGAAACCAATTACAGTCCCAAACCTTAGGAGGTGAATGTTTGAAGGGTCATGGCCAATGCGTTTATTCATTGTCGATGAAGATACGGGCACAGGAATCAAGGGCTGAAGAAAGAAACACGAATCACCCACACATCTCAAGCAGCTCTCGCCCCTGGAGCCACTCATCTCAACCCACGATTTCTCACATTTCTTTAGGTTGGAGGTCGGACCGAGGTGGCCACACTCTCCACCAGCTCCGACAACGTGCGCGCGCGCGTGCGTGCGTGCTTGTTTCCCGTGCGGAACTGATGGATCCGCCTGGATCCGCGTTTCCTGTTTTGGTGCTGGGTCGGTCAACTTGGTGGGCAGCAGGATGCAGTGGGCAGACATTTGGGGAGCCTTTAAGGCATACCCCCGGGCATGGGATCCTTAAAACATTAAAACCAACCACTTACACACAGTGCCAACATGTTCAAGAGGTCGGGCAGAACCCACATCGCCAGTTTTGTTCACCAGCTTTTTTTTCCACATCGCCTGTTACAGAAGTTGCTCTTCCAAAGTTATGGCCTACTTCGACGAGCCCGCTTTGGTGAGGCTCCTCCGACAGCGATGCGCCCAAGGTGCCCAAGGTGCCCAAGGTGCCAAAGCACGGCGAAAAACAAAGAAGCCGCGCTTCATTTTTGGCCAAGAATTGAAGATGTCTGGATGATTCTGGATGTTTGTTTGATTCCTTGAGATTGATGACATTTGTTCTAAGGCTCTCTTCCCAATCTTTGGTCCATGTGGCGTGATGCGAACGGCGGAGTTCCGAATCGGTTTCTGTTCCACCCGAATGGGTTTCGGTACCATCAGTTACTCCAACTTTTTCACGAATCCTGAGCGAAGTGTGGCAAAACAACGGGTCGAATGATCCTTGGAAGGTCCCGAAAACAACGATCTTCGGCACCAACTGAAGTTCCTGTTCGGGTTTTCGGGATTTGCTTTGTAGGCTCTTCTACTACAGAATCATATGTTTAAGTGGTATCGACTTTAGAGTCAGAGTCCCGTCCCCCAATTCTCCTTTCAAAGTGAACGGTGCCGTCGGTCGGGGTCAACGGTCGTCGGTCCATTTCCGCCAAGTTTGGAGCAAGAACAAATTATGCAATGCCACGCGGGGCAGAAATCAGTTGCGCGTGTTCTTTTCCATTTCCCTCCTCCTTTTAGATTTCTCAATACAAAGCTGTTGCCGTCGACCAGCAGGGCACGGGTCCGCATGCGGGGAACCTTTGTGAGGACAAGAAAAGGAGCCCGAGCCGCAAGAAAGGCCCCGGACTTGGTGCGGGAGGGCATCCTTTTTCGGATGTTGGATCACCCCGACAAATGACTTGGAACTGATGTAATTAGACTGTTGATGAATCAACC